TAATAGTTGATCAGTCTCTAAAGCCATCCAAGCAGTGTGTTGTTGCTAGTAGTAGAGCAAATAGGATTTTAGGTTGTATGTATAGAAATATTGAATAGAAGTCTAAAGAGGTTATAATTTACTTGTATAGGTCATGGTTAGGCCACATTTGGAAAATTATGTTCAGTGTTAGGCTCCTTACCTTAGGAAAGACATTGAATTGTTGGATAGGGTTCAGAGAAGGGTTACTAGAATGGCGGCTGGGATGGAGGGGTTGTTATACGAGGAGAGGTTGAAATCTCTCAAATTGTTTTCTCTTGAAAAAAGAAGAGTTGGGGGATCTAATTGAGGTGTTTAAGATTGTTAGGGGGAATTGATAGTGTTGATACATGAAACGAGGGCTGGGCAAAACTGGTCTTTTACTGGGGGTAAGACACCATTCACAGAAAAACTCTTCATGTTGACCTTCACATTGATTTGGGACTGGGAAAGTAAGAGTTCTCCCATGTTCCTCTAGAGTGTAAAATTTATGGAAAAGGCCAGGTAAGTTATTTACAGATATTGTTGAAGCAGTCTTGCAAAAACATGGTGGGAAGTAACACTTAGTCAGACTCACCCAAAGAAAATTATGGCAGTTAAATGAACTAACAAGCCCAACCATTTAAAATTGAAGGGGATAAGTCCCTAGAGGAAAAGATAAGCCATGAGAAAAAACAAGCAATTATGATGTCAACAAAAGGGGTGGGGGGGCAGTTTGGGCAGGATAGTAACAGACAGCCAAAATTGGACATAAAAGACAGTAGGTAATGAAATGACTATAAAAGAGAATAAGATGGAACGACCCCCCCAAGCTACCCAAGTCTTCAGAGAAAGGAGTGGTCAGGTAAGAAATCAGCCTTTCCTCATGATATAGTGTACAGCAGTTAGCGAAAGTGTGAAGATTCAAACAATGATGACCACAAGCATGTAGAAGGTGAAATCAAGGGAATAGTGTTGATACTCATTATCTGGCAGTCATTGAATTGGAAGAGCCTTTGCCAAAAAACAGATAAAGCCCAATTCCTGAAAGCAGATTCCTGCCTGGCAGATGATGGAAGAATCTATTACAAGAGATGTTCCAAAAACTGAGACTGAAGATATTTGCATACCCAAAAGGCTGTAAATATCTCTAGAATGTTGATAAGTAAATATTGCTCTTTTGGAGACCAGACCCCCCATGAAAGTGGAAGTATCAAGAACAGCCCCCTTTTCTCAAGCATGTCTAACTGCCAATATGTATGTTGGACTGTTGTGTAATGTTTAGCTTTCTTTTTCTTGCCTCATACATATTAGTTTGATAGACAATTGAATTGCATTTAAGTTTTTACATATATATTATAGTTAATTTTGTATTATTTGTCTTTTAAACTGCTATTTTAAAAGTTTAATGATTTTTAAAATATATTCTAAACTTCGTCTTGCTCTACAAATATTATATTACCAAGTAAACACAAAGAAAAATTGCTGGAGACTGATATATATCTGCTGATGATATCATTATATCTCCCAGGACACCCATTGACATTTGTCAAATAATAAATAATCAGTGGTAAAGAATAGGAAATAAAATAAAATATTAAACAAATTATAAATGAAAAGTTAAAGACATGAAATTGCTCATATCACTCAAAGAAGATTATTTAGTGAAGGTTTAAAAGGTATTTACATATTTCCATTTCATAATTTTAAACATTTCATTGCACTGTACATTGATATAGTTAGTGATATGGTAGAGAACATGGAAAATAATATATAAACATTTGTGTTAAAAACCTTTGATTTAGGAGGTTATAGAGATTATGCAAATAAATGTGAAAACTGTGAGATAAAAAAATAGTATTTTTATACTTAACATGAAAATCGCCTTGCAGATGAACTATGAAACCATGAAGGTATACATATTTCAACTATGAAAATATTTAATGTACCTTTACAAAATTTACAAGAAAAAACAAAAGATTACAAGTCTTTTGTATACAAAAAATCAGATTTTTCAATTAAAAATTTATACTAAGGTATGTCTGTGTATATATGGAGTCACAGTGTTGACTGTTCCAAGTGCAAAGTGATTTTTTCACATTAACATTAAAAATATTTTTCTTCACCTGAAAATTTTCAAATTTTATTTGCATAACCTGTAAAACCTCCTAGATAAATATTAAACTTCTTTTTTTTTTCTCTCTTAATATTTTTTTCAGTTCTTTTCTCTCGCCTAACTCTATGTGAACTTGGTCAATTTGACCAACCCTGCAACAACCTTAAAAAGTACAAAATAAAACTAAATTAGCCCTTTTTTTCTACAAGGACTTGAGATTGTAACAGAAAACTATATTTGTTTACCTTAAATAGCTTAAGTTTGGTTTGTTTTGTATTTCACACAAAGCTACACAAGGGCCATCTGCGCTAGCTGCCTCTAATTTAGCAGTTATAGACTAGTGGGAAGACAGCTAGTCAATACAACCTAATGCCAACTCTTGGACTAGTCTTTTATTAACGAATATTGGGATTGACCATCACATTATAATGCCTCCATGGCTGAAAGGGCGAGCACCTTAATCACCAGGCCATGCTAGGCCTAGTTCAAGGCTCACAACATTATACATCTGTTTATACTCTGCTACTAAGCATACCTTGTGCAGTATTTTGGTTACTATTATTTTCATTATCTTACTTAATCTAGCCTTATGTACCTTAATGAGTTTTTAATTTTTACATTTTAGTTACTGTTACAACAATTAACAAAGAATATACATCAAAACAAGAAATAAAGTACTTACCTTTGACCTCTTGTTATTCATGCTGTCAGTTACTGATGAAATTTAAAGTAAGAATTTAACTTGATTTGTTAACTATGTTTAGATGTCAAGTTTATTCGTATACATTGATAATAAAGTAATTTAATTAAATCTTGAATGTAAATCTGCAAAAGATTGTGACACGTGCAACTTGACATACCTGTTGTAAGAGGGTTAAATTAATTAGTCAATAATAGATTCCTTTAATTCCTTGCAAAATTTGTTTTATATTAATTGTAAACCATATTCCTGTTTTCATATCTGGTTAGAAATATTAGAACTATAATGCTATAATTGATAAACAATGATAATTATTACATTTTTTGTTAATGATTTGTTTTGTCAGTCACTAGATAATTAAAAAAAATTAATACTTATGTGTAAGTTGACAAAAAGGAAGAATGACTATTATACTTTGTTCATTTAATGGGTACTTTTAGGGAATTGTTATGCTTTTCAGTGCTTTTAAAAAATTGTTTGGTGGTTTATTTCCAGCTCTTCTTTCTCAAGTAAATCTTTTTCTTACCTTAAGAGGCAAGGAAACAATATGATAAATCCTATTTCACCACTGAGACAGTGTGTTTCTCTTAAGCTTCATGAATTCACTGAAACTTCATATTTTATATTTTCTAATAGATAAAACTATAAGCTAAAACGTTTTTGTTACTAATTAAAAAACAGTCTATTTCAAACTTATTGAAATAGATTTGATTTATTAAAAAAATATATACTTAAATGTCTAGCATAACACTATCAGTAAACTTATGAATGCACCTTAAATTAAGAGACTTCTTAATACTCAGTTCAGCTTTAGCTTTATGAATTTGTGTCACTTAGGTTTTGTGAATTATTTATAACTTTGGAAACTTATTGGGCTATTAAGATCGTTTCTTTTGTAGAGAACTTTGACTATGAATCATTTCTACTTATTTTATTGTAAATCTTATTTACCAAGGCACACAAATTTCTAGATAATTTTACTTCAAATATTGTAGTAGTTTAAATAAAAACTATTAGATAAAACATTTTTTATTTTATAAATTTCTAACCTATGTATATTTCATAGAATTTTGTGAAATGTTCTGTTACTAATTAAATATACATTTAAGTCTGCAAAACTTATGCTTGTGTTACTTTAAATGACATACAGATATTTTTTATTTTAGCATTCTCAGGTAATGGTTGATTTTACAGTTACATAAATTTTATCAGTTTTTAAGGTACTAGTAAAATCATTTATTTTTCAATGAGTTTATTTAATACAGATTCAATAATTTGATTTTTTTTTCTTAAGGGATTTTCTTTGCAAGGCTCAGAAAGACAATTCTGCTTTGTTGATCATACAAGGGGAATTCAATTCAGCTTCTGTCAGTGTTTTGGAATGTATGCGCTACTGCATCCAGAAAATTTCCATTGAGTATCCTGAAGAAACGAGAGGTCATATTGTACTTTTGTTACAACTACCTAGAATGAGTTCTGCACCTTTTATTGGGTTTCCAGGTGGCATTTGGACTTCTGCTCATTTAGATGAGCTGAAATCAGAGTCTTTGGGTCACTTCTGTAGCATTTCTAATATGAAAGGAAAAACTATCAGTGAAATATTCAAGGAAAATATGCGTAAAAAGGTTGGTTTAAGCATAATGTTTACATTATTTACTTTAAGAAAAGAAATATGTTTTGAAGTTTTTGTTTTCAGGTATTTTTGTGTATTTTATCAGTCAGTGTGATATTGATTGTTTGTTTGTAGCATATGAGAATTAATTTGATTTGAAGTTAGGTTATATGTTACAACATAATTTGTTAAAGAGCAAAGGTATAACAGAATTCACATTTATAAGCTCAAAATAGGGCAATAATTTGGGAAAATAATATTTTAATAGAAGAAACTACTTTTCTTGTAGATGTGTGTGTTAGTATAAATAATTGAATTAAATTTAAAAACAGATATATGAAAAAGAGGTGAAAAGTAATAAGTACACCATCAAAGCATGTGAAGAAAAATTGCTTGTTAAACTTGATGTTACTGTTACATTATGATTTTTATAAAAATGTTTTGTAATATTGATAGGTTTTACTTGCTATAGTTTTTATTATCAATGGTATATGTTTTACTGTTTATTACTGTTAAAAGCTTTTTCTTATTCATTCACTCACTTTCTCAGTATGTACTTCAGTTTGCAACTGCACTACTATGTAGTCTACTATATGCTCAGAATAATAATGGCTGGAGATGGCTTGAATGGGTAATGAAGAAAAACTTTAATATAAGTTTAACATAACAGCAAATGTACAATGTTTCGACAACTCTTTTATGGTATCTCTACCATTTATCTCCTCTCTGAGGCTCTCCACTGAAATCCTGAGGGGTTTTCTGGGGATATCCTCTTCCTTCTTTCCTCCAAATTGGCTCATTTGTTGTTTTTGGCTCTGACTTCACTTATGTTGTTTCTATGTTGTTGGGACCTTCTCATTTGTAATGTCACCTTAACTCGTATCTGATTACCATCATGTTATCTTTGGGATTTATGTATGGCCCCATTTCTGTGGTGATATGTCTTTCACATGATCCTCGAGTATTTGTAATCACAAGTTACATAAGTAGAACAAAACTCTACCCTTTCCAACACTGTTGCCCAGTTGTCTTAGTTAGAGTCCAATATGGCACCTGTTCCCATTTCCCGTCCCTTCTTCTCAGGGTGACTCGTCTCATCGTTTTCTTCTACGACACGTCACTTTGCCAACAGTATCAATGACTACCTGATAGGTTATGGTTTAGTGGGAGCTTGGCTTACAGATTTTCTTCATCACTAGCATTTTTTCATTAAGGATCATTAGGTTCTACAAATTTTATCGGAAGGATTCATGATCCCTTTTTTCCCCCACCTCCTGTGTCTTCTATACCTGTTTCCTTCCATTCTCCCTGGGATCCCATTACCAGCCAGTGTCTGTCTGAGGTATTTCAGGAACCACTATCTCAGCAGGCCATTGAACCTATTCTACATCCTTCACCAAGTTTTATTCCAGACTCTCTGTTGTTGCTTCGTTCAACTGCCCCATTTTCCCATAGAGTCATTTCTCATTTTATGGTGGTCATTTTCTCTGGGCTTATGAATGAACAAGATGGATGTCACCAATGCTTATCTCCCATCCTTATATCACCAAGGTTTTGTATGCATCTTCAGTTCATCCATCATGGGGTGGTTTATCAATTTCATGTGCTACCCTTCGAGCTTGCTTCTACCCCTTATGTTTTCTGTCAGGTAGTCAGAGCTTTTGCTTGCCATCTTCATGCTCTGGGGTTGTGATTCCACCATTATATTGATGACTTGCTTCTTCTGGCTCATTCCAAACTAAAGTTGGCCAGCCATATTCATCAGCTTTTTCTAGTGGCTGCTCAGGTAGGCTGGTTAATCAAATTGGAGAAGTCCTTCCTCCGACCTACCCAACATCTCAACCACTTGGATGTCTTTTTTGACACTCACCTCAGTCAGGCCTAACATTCTCCTCTACAACTTCATTCCATGGAGCTGTTAGTTTGCTACATCCTTTCAGCTCCCTTCCTTTCTGCTCATGAGGTTCTATCACTTTTGGGGATGTGGTCTTCAATTATATCACTGATCCCCCTCAGTCATGCGCATATGCGATCCCTTCAGTGGGCTCTTCATGACCAGTAGAACCTTGCTTGGGATCCCTTGTCTGCTCCCGTTACTCTTCCTCATACCCTGATGGACGATCAGCATTGGTGATTGCACTTCTGTTCGCTCCTTATTGGCCTGATTTTCATCTTTTCATTGGTGCATCCTTTAAGAGTTGGGTGCATGGGTCAATCACCAGGAGGTTTCAGATCATTGGTCTGTCGATGAAAGGTCCTTGTATATCGACGTCATTGAGCTTCTAGTAGTCCATTGGGCTTTGAATCTCTTCCTTCCTCTTGCCTGACATTGTCTGGTGATGATTCATTCTGACAATTCTATGGTGGTAGCACATATCCATCAATAAGGGGGCACCCAGTTGAGAGATATCTGTTTTCAAACGTTGGATCTACTATATTGGGCCCACACATACCACATTCATCTCACTGTGTCACATTCTGGGTGCTTTCTATCTTGTAGCGGATCATTTTTTGTGCCCCGACAAAACATATCCTTGTTTTCTGGTGGCTTTGCAGTTGGTGGGGTTTTCCCCACATAGATGCCTTTGCCACATACCTCAGTCACAAGTTACCCCTCTTTTGGTCCTCAGTACCTCATCCTCAGGCTCTGGCTGTCGATACCTTCAGCCAGGATTGGTCTCACAAATCCCTTTATGTTTATCCTCATATCCAATTACTTCATTGGGTAATCTCTTATCCATACCATACTGTGTCAAGTCCTTTTGATCGCTCATTATTGGCCTGATCAACAATGGTTTCCACGATTACAGCAATTTGCAACTTTTCCCTCTAGTTCCTCTTCCTTTGTTTCCCTCCCTTCTTCGTCAACCTCAGTCACAGGTTCTACATCCAGCCATTCATGTTTTTTGTCTTCACGCCTGGTGTTTATCCAGTCTTTGGCAAGGAGATCAGGTTTCTCCCATCGAGTAGCTTTCCTTTTAGCTCGTTCCATATGTCCTTCTTCAGTGGAGGTGTATCAGCACAACTGGAAAGTGTTCTGCAGTTGATCTGTGGCTCAGGGATTCTCCACTGACTGACCTACTGTGCCTCGAATGGTGGAGTTTCTCACATGGCTTTTCGACCAGGGGTCTTCAGTCTTCTCATTCTCAGGTTATCTGGCTTCTTTTCCAATATCTTTCATTTTTCCTGATACTATCGAGTTTTTGCTTCTCCTGTCCTTACCATGTTAACCCTTTCCAGATGGGTCATAGTTGAAAGGCCATATCATAGCGTTTGTTTACTCGCAT